CCGTGCGAGAGCGCAACGCAGACCCTATCCGAGAGCACGCCCCTGTCGCGATGACCGGGTTGATCTAGATCGGGAAAGGACATGGACAGATCCGTCTCCTCAAGTAGCAGAGATGCCGCAATCTGCTGCCTGAGCCTATCTTCACCTAAGCCTGTCGGGATCACCCCGAAAGGCTCCCCAAAGTTGAGAACCCAAACCTGGGACTTGGCTGCAGCTCCGAATTCCTGCGGTATGCCAACGGGCCATCCCCAGACATTAGCATATCCGGCAGGGCAGCCGACACCAGAACAGGATGCTGTTCGGGAGCGACGACGACCAAGTCACCCTCTAAGACGTGCAAAACAGCATCCCTTGCAGACGGCCATGGAGAGTCACCGACATACAGTAATACACAAGGAGACTCGCCGAAGGAGGGAAGCCCGCAATCACAAGGAGCGAGGCTACATCGACAGTATTTGCCACAGCAGTCGCAAAGATACTGGAGCTCGCCATCCTCGCATCAACGAGAACAATTACCTCTCTTGTAAGCCAAGCGGGTGCGGCGATGACTGAAGCAAATGTGGTATCTGGCTGAGGGAAGACTTCCGCCAGACGTGGGAAGACCTCTCTGGAACGCGAGCATGGTCAACTATCTCGGCTTGATGTGGTGGCAATTTCGTCAGACCAAGCAAAGGTATCAACTGGCATCCTGCCAATCTGCTGGACATCCGGGACATATCTCGCCGTCAAGACCGAGCCTGGTGCCACCTGCAGGAAACCATACCCAACCTGAATACCTTCGACTTCAACTCTCCCACCTAATGGGCTTCATCATATGCGGCAACTTGCGTACCCTCAGCAATGAAACACATCCATCCTTGCAAGAGATCTCTGCAATCCACGATAAAAGCGAAGCGGCTGTCACTCCGTGGCAATTGGTCTCTGTGCAGTACGACTAAGGCAGTCCGGCAGTGCGAACCTTCAAAAGCAGCGACCGTCGTCCGTGACTCGGGGAACAGCTGGGAAGGTCACAATGTCCTGCTGGGCGGCACCGACTGGCGCCGCCAATCGATCCCTGTAATTCCATGGCCGGCTCACATCTGCAAAATGCAGACGGAAACCAATCTGCAGTACGAGGCAATAGCAACCCTCGGCACTACTCCAAACCATTTCCCTATCAACCTCCCAAGGTGTGGCTGTGATCAACAATTGCGAAAGTGCAAGAGGAGGTGCAGGGATCAGGGAAGGGGGCACGATCCTGATCGTCATCCCAAGGAAAACGTGAGCATCTGCTTCATCAGGAAGTGGTTCCGCATCAAACCCCAGGAAAACGGAGAGATCGCCCGAATCTGGCAAGTCAGCGGCAGAGAGAACTATGCGCTTATCTACATAGTCTGGCACGCGTGCTGTGTACAGCCGCCCATCGACCTCAGTGGTATCGATACACACCGTCATGGCCATGCCCCACCAGCTGGGGTTGGCTAGAAGCACACATCATCCATCCACGGGCTGTGGTGCTGCTTCGAGGAGGACACCTGAGCGACTGCTGGGTCTCTAGCATTATGGGCAATGTCAAGCAGTTCATCGCCAGCAACACTGCAATTCTGCTTGAGGATGACGACTCCCAGCCACCTAACACCTCCCGTGCCATCAGCTGCAGCGCCCGCGTCGCGCAGGGTGCCTGGTGCAAAGTCTTGGCCGACTGGGACATAAGGCCATGCTGCTCCCAACTCTGTCGTCAAGAATCTGAGAGCATCACGCCCATCCTGGCCGCCCAAGCTATCCGGCCAAGAGGCCGGTTCAGTCAGGAGACGTAGATCTCTGACGGGAACAGTGGTATCCTTCATGGCACTAACCGAAGAAGAAAGTAGCCCAACAGACTCACCTTAACGCTGCACCTGGGTCTGCAACCCCGCAACACACCAAGTATTCACCACATGGCCTTCTGGAAAGGCACGAGTTCGAAAATGCAGTGACCACTTGGCGGCAAGATCAACATATGCCCAGGTATGAAACCAGACCATCTAAGGCCGCCCCTTGCTCAAACGCTGAAGGGAGCGCCTCGATTCGTGCATGTGGGGCCTCAACCTGCACGGCAACAGACGCAACGGCTGTACTGGCGACACAGTCAGGACTACCTGATGGACCCGAGGGAGCGTGTCTCGCTTCGCTGCTGATAAGTAAGGTATTCGTTGCACTGCCTACTCGTGTGGCACCTGGACTGACATGCAACAACCGCCTCACCTCCTGAGTAACGCGCAGCCACGGTGGTAAGCCCTCATTTCCGCAGCCCTCAAATATGGGGAGCATTGGTGATAGGAACGGCCGCCTCGCCGTCCTCTTGGAGTTCGTGACCTAGAACCGGTCCTGTCGGGCCGCCTGCTGGCAGCAGTGGGGCCCGCAGCATGTCTGCGACCCCGTCCTCCCCAGTCCGAGCTTGTATCCGCATCAGGACCCGCTCCTCCTGAAGATTCTTCATCTTCGTCACAATCTCCTTCATCGGACTCCTCATCTCTTACATACCCGAAAACTACCGTATCTCCCTCAACAAGGTCCAGCATGCCACTGACCCCAGGCACGGGCCAAACTTCAATGTGGTGACAAATGGGCCGCTGAAGGCGCAGGTATCTCACGAGCGTAAGAGGCTCGACTCTGCCACTTGGCAGGAACACATGCTCTAGGGGCGGCATGATCGGGTATATTACCATAGTGTCCCTGCAGCTTATCCCGTACATTTTCCAGAGCACGTCCGGGGCGCGACACGAACAGCACATTGTTCGGGGATCTATCCACAACACTGGCAAGGAATACCCGCACTGCAACATCCGGAAACCTGGTCGCCGAAAACAGCGTTCTCCTATCTTGGTGCAACATGAGCACTTGGCGATCTGGGGAGATTGGTGGCAGCGTAGGCTCCGTACTCCATTGGTTCGGGCGCTCATATCTTGTGCATCGGCACCCGTCTCTTGCTGGTCCTGTCGCCATGCCTGAACCAGCTGGTTCCATTCCTCGTCCGCAGGCTCTTCTGTTGTCATCTCCATCTGTCCACGGGCAACCTCGCGTAGGGCCATCCTTGCCTGTTCCTGCGCCATGAGAGCTTTGCCCAGCTCCAGATGCAGTCTCTCCTGCTCCTTCGCGAGTCGACCTTTTTCTTTCTGCCAGGCCGCCTTCATCCTGGCAACCCAGTCCTCCCATAGGCGATTCCTCTCTTTGATTTGGTGCTGTACTGATAGCACCTTCTGCTCCGCTCGTCTGGTGCCGTTCAGGGAGTTCCGTAACTGTTGTCGCCTTCCTTGCACCTTCGGCTGCTCCTCCTGCTCGCCATACCCAGCCCAGCTCTCTCGCTGTGGTCTCTTGTAGTCGTACGCTGGGAACGAGGGAACATCCCTGCAGCAGATGAGCCCCAGGAGCCCTGCCAGTATTGCCAATACTTGTTTTGCTTTCCATTTCCACCCCATCCTCCTCCACGGCCCATCTGGGTACGAGGCGTTGAGTGATGAAAAAAGATTCTCCGGAAGGCACGCCCTCTCGAAGGAAGATTCTTTCGCTTGGCAATCCGAAGGCGAGCTCTGGCAAGTGACCGTTTGCGACGGAGGTTGCGATGCCAGGTAGGCGAGCCCCCTACTTTGGCAGTAATGGCTCGCAGGAGGCGGAAAATCCAAACAGCGTGCCATCCTTGTTGCACTGGGGCTCTGAGCTCTCCGCTCCTTTCGCGGTTTTCTCGAACCCTGGCAGACTCACTGGTAATTAAGTCTGAGACCGAGACCTGCACTGTGCTTGAGCTCAGGTCCAGCATCCGAAGGTGCCTGGCCGGTGTTGCAAATTGCTTGGCCGAGGAGGACCGTCCAAACTCGGACGACGTGACACAAGCGCACACGCACACGCACACGCACGCATGTGCAGCAGATGCTCTTTTGCGGTATCATGAAGAGCTGTGTTCGCCCATAGGTCCATCCATCCATGCAACCACCCACCAATCCATCCACCCGTCCGTGCCTCCGTCCGTCAATCCATCCGTTCATCCGTTCATGCATTAATCCGTTTGTGTACACAAGATCACATGCCTGCAGCGTTCTTGTTAACTTACGCAAAGCACCAAAGTGTATGAAGCATGAGACCCGCCATGAATCTGTAAGATTGGCTTCTTGGCCGCAGGACCTAGGCCTTTTCGTGAAGATGGCCACGCGCCGTGCTTTATTCCCGAACCAGCGCTTGGCACCGCTGCTGAACGTCGCAACCTGCGCTGCACTTATGCGAAACTGACATATAGTCACATAGTAGCTGCCATGTTCAAGAGGTTTGGGATGATGTGCTCATGATGAGAATTCAACCGTTTTGGTGTGAACCCGATTGCAGACACGAGAAACACCTCTTGACCTCCTCCTGCGATCTCTCGGAGAACCTTTATCCACCTCTTTTCGCGATTTTTCGGAGGATGTCTTGATGGCTTTCAGGACCTCCTTTCAGACGGGCTGTTACAAGGCATCCTCCTAGGACTTCCTCAGTACGTCGCATAGGTCAGGGTTCAGGACCGACGACAGGGGCGGATGGAGTACTTTAAGCCGCAGATGTCAAGACATTAGCGAGCGCTTTGCCGACTCTGGCGGGCGCATCGAGAGAGATATAATGAAAACGCACCGGCTCTGGGTCAACAACACCCGATGCCAAACCTTTAAACCCGCTCCCTGCTGCCGAGGCCCCAACTTAGCTTGCTTTGGTGGTCTCCTGCCGAGGTTGGTATTGTGATGCTCTTTGGCATGCTCCCTGGTGTCTTTCAGTTTGCAACCGAGAGGCTCTTCGTCACCCCGCAGATTTTGGCAGTGAGACTTGGCCGGACTGGAGGGAAGGCCAATCCACAAACCAGTCCGAGTTGAAGTTTACCGCGGGGTTCGAAGTTGCCCGCAAAGTTGAGGTTGCAAGCAGGAGATGTGGCTGCAGGTGTCATGCTTGGTCATGCGCAGATTTGCCAGACTTTGCTGCCATGTGTGTTTCTAGCGCGGTGGAAACAGAGCTAGAAAGCCATGGCCGCCATCCTTCCAAGGAGGGCGTTCTCGGCAGACTTGTTGCCTGCTTTCGATTCCGAAAGAGATCGCGACAACTACGTGCTGTTGTTGGGCAGAGAGGGCAGAGAGCCTCATCTAAGTGTGAAGATCAAATCCACGCAGACCTCGACACTTGGCTGCAGGTGGCACATCAGATCAGAAACCACAACATGCTCCCGAAGAAAGGGGCCGGCTCCTGTGATGTTGACTGCTTGTTTGTACGCCAGGAGTGTTGAGATCTGCTGCACAGATCCAGACAGCTGCACGCGTTACGTGCTGGAGCACTCATTGCTTCACTTCAATGAGAAGCCCGCCGATGAGGAGACCGTCATCCTGAAGATTCCGGCCGCGTCATCCACGAGGTGCAATCTGACCGCTCTAGGCCTGGCCCTTGATGTGTTCCAGGTTGTAATTTGGGAGATGCTGTAGTAACTGTAGTACAGTAGTTTTAGCCGCTGGACTTGCGACCCACGTATGACTCCCTTTGAACTTCCTCTCCGATGAAACAAAGCACCCATGCGATGGCATATATCAGCCTGCTGCCCTGAGCCACTTTTGCACAAGCGGTTGATTGTTCCTGCTGTCTTCGGGAAAATCTCGCGAGGCCTGAGCAAGAAGTTATCGTTAACGCTGGATTTGATGGTGGCGGTGAAGTCCGTCAAGAACTTGTGCGATTGTCGCAAGAACTTCTGCAGCTGCTGCAATGGTTACGAGGGCCACCTCGACGCTGAAGCAGAGGAAGTCCAGAACATGTTGGCGAAAGATTTCTGCACTCCGGTGCCATGTGCCATCGATAATTCGAACTGGGAGCCAGGTCCGTTGTGTAACTGCAGCAATGGCTATGCTGGGAACATTGTCTGGGAGGGGGCCCAAGTCAGTGGCAGTTGTACCCCTGCTCCGTGCTACATTGTAAATTCGACCAGGCAGCCGGGACTCCAGTGCCAGTGCAAAGACGCTTTCTCCGGTGAGGTTCAATGGCACCAATCCATTGCTTCTGGTGAATGTCTGCCAGCTGCCTGCGGCGTTCCATATTCCACCGGCGTGGGGCCGGATTGCAAGTGCATGCCCGGCTATGACGGCAACATCAGCTGGAACGGTTCAGAAGCTAGCGGGGCATGTGCACCGGCTGCAGGCTGTGCAGACAACGTTGAAAACAGTGTAGGCGAAGGACCCCAATGCAAGTGCAAAGATGGTTTCACAGGCAAGGTTCTTTGGCAGGGTGCAGTGCCTCACGGAAGCTGCAAAGCAGCAGACTGCCGTATAGAGAACTCCAACCTCGAACCCGGTCCAGGCTGCAAATGCAAGGATGGCTATGTGGGTGATATAAGGTGGCATGGAGACCGTCCGAGCGGCTCTTGTACACCGGCGCCCTGCGCTATCAAGAACTCCAACCTGGAGCCTGGGCTGGGCTGTCGGTGCAAGAACGGTTTCCAAGGAGAGATCACGTGGCATGGTCCATCAGCCGCTGGAACTTGTGAGATTGTGCCCTGCCGTGTTCTCCACTCTGACCACGCGCCGGGTCCTGCGTGTCGGTGTTTACACGGCTTTTTTGGCCGCATCGCCTGGAGAGGCCCTGCAGTGTCTGGAAGTTGCGTGCCCCAACCACTCTGTCGGTTTGGAGACGCTTTCCACGTGACGAGACTCACCGCAGGACTGGTAGATGCAAACAACAACACTTGCAGAGCAGGCCAGGCCATGCTTGTCCATGGCCGCCCGCAACTGCTAAATGGTACTGGTAGGTTCAGCAGCTATGTGAAGCACAAAATGAGGTGGGCTTCTGCAGATGCCTTGCCACCGGCCAAGTGCAAGGTGGTGCCCGACCCAGAGCACTTCAGCCTTTCAAGCTGGTGCGCAGCGACGCCTGGGCAGCCACAGTGCTCCCCGCGAATCGTCTATACTGTGACCAGCCACAATGCATCTCACTATGCTTGCGATGGTTGCAAGACGCCGGAGCATGCCCTGACTGAGTTTAGAGGCAGCCGTTGTGGATATGACCTTATCAAGTGGGAGTCCTTCACCATTAAACCTGGATCACCTGATGCATGCACATGCAATCTGTCTTCGAGTTGCAGCGAAGTACCTGCAGATGAGCTCCCCAGGGCTTGCATCCAGGCCGCGGAGCCTGCGGTTCTGAGTCTGAGCATTGGAAGGGAGGATGAGGAGAGATTCTTGATATTCCATGATACCGGCGAGCTCCTTGCAACATCCAGCAAGGGCAGTGGCCTCAGGTCAATCAGAGTAGTAGAACCACATTGTTTGGGTTCGCAAGAGCAGGCTCTCTTGGCAGGTGGATGAGTCTGCAAGTCCATGGCTGACGTCTTATGTATCCGTAGCGATCTCGTGTCAGACAGCCACTGCACCAAAACGGTAGGACGAGGGAGCACAGGCTTGAGAAAGCCAGGTGGTATCTAGGCCCTAGGCCTGCCGCTCATTGCCATTGTTGGCTTGGTCTTCTTGGTTGAGATGCTTTACCATTGGAGACTACAGCAGATTTCATTCTAGTCCCGGAATCAGACAAAAAGCAGTAGGGCTTTCGTTGATGTATGATCATGCATTCCAGAACGGCGGAGTTTGCATCGTGAAGCCGGTAAGGATGGTCTAGCACAGCAATCTGGCGTAATCATGTGATGGGTTTCGTAGGCCTCAGAGGGTTATGGCGCAGCGAGCTTGTTGCAAGGTGCTGCTGACGTTGAGGATGATGCGCTGGGTGCCATGTCTGCGGAATGGCTTTCTGACGGGGAGAATCTTCTCATCAAAAGCCCTCTGGGGACCCATCTCTGGCAGGGGGAAGGAGCCGGCTTGCAATTCGCCTACGAGGCAAAAAATAGCGATGAACTTCCCGGCCGGTTGCGCGCCAACACGGTGCTTCCAGAGTGGTGGAAGGCGAAGTTCAAGCAGGAAGCGGCTCTGCCCGGCAGTTTCAACACCGACAAATTGGCGGGCTGCGAGTTCATTTTCAAGTCGAAGGGCTCATGCTACAGTGCTCGGTTGGGACAGGGTGTCTGGGTCTTGCCAGCACCAGGAGATTGCGTGTTTCAGGATGTCGCGAAGGCAAACGGCAGCATCGCTTACAAGTACATGTCATCAGCCTTTGGGCTCCAAACTTACAGATCTGATGTGACCTGCTACCCGACAGCAGCCTTCGAAGAAATTCTTGTGCAGGTGGTCGATGTCGGCATGCCAACGGCGGATTTCGACTACACGGTTGCCAGGTCTCCCTGCCGAACAACGATACGCTACATGACGGATGCAAGGTTAAAGCTGTCCGAATGCCGCAGCTTCTTCAAGTAGAGTGCCAGTTGACCACGGAAGACTTGGAACGGCTTGATGTGAGCCCAGCGGCCGTTCCGAGGGACACGCGAGGAAAACAGCCCTCACGCAGCAGTTGGTGCTTGCAGGCGGTCATGCACTGCAGGACATGATTTGCGGCAGTGTGGATACATGCATGGTGTTGTGGTCTGGTCGTGGACCCGAGCCATCGTTCCTCTTCGTCTCTCTCTTGGCCCCGAAGCTTTAGTAGCAGGCCCCTCCATGTAGCGCTTGCGCGTGACATGCGCGACCCCGCTCTTCTAGCGTGGGCCTTTGCCGTCCATGCGGCAGCGATCCAGGAGAGGGGTTGCAGGTGCCACAGTACGTCGCCTTGATCCCTGAGCTGTGGGCCTTCGGGGGAGGGTCTTTGGTGACAGAAACCTTTGAGCTTTGAACCTCGTAAACCAGACGTTGCGGGTTTAGGACGTGTAGTTGTGGCTTTGTTGTTGCCATGGCCAACGGTTCCCTTTCGCCCAGCAGACGTATGGACATATGCCTCGCCCGGAGAGTCCGAGAGTGAGCGCTGGAACCTAAGCCCGACACACGAACCCCTCACCGCATGAGGAGCCTTCGGTCCAAAAGCCGATTTCTTGTTCCGAGAGACCGAAGCTGCCAGAAGGGCGCATGACTAGTTAGTAGTCTAGTGGAGTCCCGTGCAGTACTTTCCTTTGCGTTACACGGGAAGGTTTGGTATAGCACCCAAGAACCAACATTGAATACTTCAGTCCTTTGTACTAAAACAAGCTTGGTACAGGAGCATCATGCTGCGCTCGACATAGGCAGCCACGTTCATCCAGAAGTACAAGGTGGGGATGGGGCAACCTCTTCCAGAGACCGGTTCTTGGTTGGTTGTACTTGGAAAGATTTATGATGTTTGGGTTCAAAGATACGGCATGACCTTTGTGCACTTACTATGGGTTTTTGAATCGAGCTTTTGGTTTTTCTTTCCGAGCATGAGTGGCAAAGACTGCCTGTGAGAGCTACACGAGTTACACGAGACTCATAGATTCATTAATAAATGGGCAGTTCTCTAGATTAGGGTCCCTTGTAGGGTCCTTGTTATAACGGTGCCGTACAATACTGAGGAGCTAAACAGGGACCCTAGGTTAGAGAATTGGTCAAATGTATCTGGTGCAAGAATGTGACGGATATATCTCCCGAGCAGGCAGCAAGCACGCTGGCCTTGCAGTGCTGGCCGACTACCATTTCTGAGAGAGCCTGGCTTCGACCTTCAGATTCCCTTTTCCAATTCTTTGAGGAAGGGCTCAGCTCGAACTGGTTGTAGTAGATGTAGCCGTAGCCCTAGTCGCTATGCCCTGAACCCTCAACCACGAACCCTACCAGGATCCCCCACTTGCTTCATTAATGCTACTTACGCAACCCACTTGACGTCCATAAGCCCGCCTGACCAAGACTGGAGACGTTGTGCGACAGGCGAAAAAGGCAATCTGTCTTTGTGAGTCGCAACCAGGTGCGATAATTCTTATACTTTCTCTATCTTCCTTTGCTTGATTTTGCTGGTGAAACGCACAGTACTCTCAGGTTAACGAACCGCACACTCCTTCTCAGAACAGACTGGCCAGAGAGTAGGCGAGTCCAGTGTACGAGCACGTTGTGATCTCGAGCTTGAGGCTTGAAGTTCAGGCGCTCAGGACGGATGGTCCAAGGTCCCGATGAGATGTTTGGCAATTGGTCATTCAATGAAGTGTCAAGGGGCCTGGGTGCCGCAGCCCAGACTCAGAAATGCCTTTCGAACATGCGCCTACGACTGTCTCTCTTCAGCCGATTTTGGCTTCTAGCCCGTTGTCTGCGAGTGGCTGCTCCGTATATGTTGTCGCGAATGCCATATGGCAGCTTCCAAATTGAGGCGTCACAATGCGTTGCCCCAGTCCTGATAGTTCGTTTCTATTTCAACCCTGAAGTCTGGCTTAGTTGTTGAGAGCCTGCATGTGGCACAGGCCACATGCCTACAATGATGGCCATGGTCTCGGCCATCCTTCCATGATGCCGTGGGCGCTGTCAACTTGGAAGCGCTCCGCTTGAGGAGGCCCCAGGTTTAGGTCTTATGGGAGCCCACAAGCCTGGATAATCTGCACACATAAACCAGCCGGCCGCAATTACACTAGCTATGCTCGAACCTTGCACCATAGGACCAAGGATTGTCAAAGATTCAAACAAGTAAACCAAAACTAGCCCTTCGCTTAGCTTCCGACCTCCTCGTATACGACCTTTCCTGTGAATGGGTTTTGTGCCCAGCATGGAGATTCAAGAACAATCCTAAGCAAGATGTGAATCAAGGTGGCAAAACGCATGTATAATATTGGCAGCTAATACTAACATACGAGGCTTCAGTGGATTACCGTAGTATGTCAAGGTTGAAGATGCAGGGTTCTGGGTTCCGGGTTCAGGCTGTAGGGTGCTACAGAGACACAAGTTGGGGCTGCTGGAAGTCCGTGACAGAACCTTGCCTTTTTATGGCTTGATGGTGACTTCGAAGGTTGCCTTGGGACATATGTGGCCTGGCTGCGTGCAGCGATGGCAGCAGTGTTGATTAGTGATTAGTCCGTGTAGATGGGTGTAGCAGCCACGGGAGTCACTTGTGTGTCTTTTGTTGTGTCACTTGTGTTTTTTTTTGTCGCTGGTGTCTTTTTTATTGTTCGGAAGGAACAGTCTCGAACGATAGGCCCCTTGGTAGGACCTGACATAGGAGACCCTCGGCCCTCTCAAGTCGACGCCCCTGAGATTGCAATCGGGGTTCAGCGGTGCTCTTAGCGTTGCATCGAAAGTGCGAAGAACGCCGTCGCATGCCTTAGCCTCATAACTCATATCACGACACCCGCCGCCCCACAGTCATGCCCACCACAAACCCTGACATAAGTAAAGGGTAAGCTTGAAAGAAGCCCCAGGCCGAAGCCCTAAAAGCAGTAAGCCCAAACCGTAACCTTAATGAAAGAAGACCCAAACCGTAAAAGGAGTAAACGGACCACGAAACCCTCAAAGAAGGAACATGTAAGCTTGAAAGAAACCCGAAACCATAAAAGGAGTAAGTATGCCCTGGCCGAAGCCCCAAAAAGAGTAAACCCAGACCGAAATCCTAATGAAAGAAGGCCCAAATCCTGGAAGCTTTTTTGTTGCCAGCCTTGGACGGCTAGCAAAAAAGGGCTTTCGCAAGAAGTTAAAAGACACCGGCGACACAGAAAAGAAAGACAGAAGCAGCGGTGATACAATAAGAAAGACAGAAGTGATCGGGCACCCGGTGTAGCGGGTCCGGGCTGGTTGGTTCTTGATCTTGGGCGTTGATCTATCATGTGACTTCTTTGCGCTGGATCTGATGCGGCAGGGATAATCCGGAACATCGAACAAGCATCGGCATGATGTGCAAGATGTCTCTTCCGAGCTTTGCGACACCCCGTACCCAAAAATACCAAACTTTTGAGCCCCAAGACTTAGCCCCACTTCTGTTTGAGAACTGGTCATCAAAATATTGGTCATAAGCATTAGGTGTTTTTCTTACATGGGCGCGTCGTTCGCCCTTTTACAGCTGCTGATCGCCAGTTGTGGGCTGAGTGTGCTGCTTTGTGGTTGAGAGACTGTGGGCTTTGCACCGAACCATGGCAACATGAAGCTGATGCGTACCTGGGTCACGGCTGAGTGAATGTGCAGGGCACACCTTCACTGGTCAAAAAACTTGGTGCCTTATACCTTTGACGGCGAAGCTTGGTGTCTTAGCACGTTGAGGCGCCGTGGTGGTTGGGCGCATCTGTCTTTGAATCATTGAACGGTTGTGAGCTGTGGAGTGTCCTTCGGGTGGTGGAGGCCGATCTGATGCCGCGGACGTTCTATGTGCGTCTGATGGTGGAAGGTGAACTTGCAATGGTCAGTTCGTGTTAAGACGCGCGCAAAGCCAGTTTCCAGCTGGTTCGTGAGGCTGGAGCCGTAGTTGAGGTTTCTTGTTTGCGTGGCAGTGGTGAGTGGGCCGCGAAAGTGAGGGCAGAGGCGTGTGCCTGGCTTATGTCGGCATTGCCCTCTGCTTGATGAGCTTCTTACTGTTTCGTTTTCGTGAGGGGCCTGAAGGGCTGAGCCTCAGACGTTGCCAGGCACTGCGAAACCCTCTCGATGCAACGGCAGAGAGAGAGAGAGAGAGAGAGAGAGAGAGAGAAGACTTAGCCCTCCAAACCCATCATAAACCCCAAAACTGACCCCTAAAGCCCTGTGCGAGTGTGAAAGTCGAAGCCCTGATTTTTCGCTCGCGCCGATGTGGCAGGCTTTGGCATGGTCCGGCTTTGCCGGCAGCGTCTTCTCTTGGGCCTGCATGTGGCCGCTTCGGAAGAAGAAGCATTAGCTTTCCTCCTCCACACGAACTGTCCTGGACCCTTTCCTCTCAACAGCAGCACAGGGTTGGGTGTGGCTCTTGTTATACATGGTTCTTGTGACGGTTCTTGGTAACTGTTGCGACCAACACTGGGGTGTGCACCGGCTGCGCGGTTGGCAGAAGTCACGGAGGTCTTGTGTTGAAACAAGCGATGCGCTGGGAATGGATATA